CACAATTATACAATATTACAAAATTCATAATTTTCTCAATAATCACCCAATTAACAAGAAGTAACACTAATCACAAATTAAAAGCATGGTTACCTTGTGGCTTTTTCAATAAATTATTCCTTAAAATTTCTCTCTCACCACAATCTTCACCAGTAATACAATCTACAAATAACATATTATTTATAAATATTAGTTTCAATTTTTGAAACTAATAAAATAATTCTAATAATAGAATTAAAAATATAACATAATTCTTAATCTCAATCTTAATACAAATCTATAGTTAATACTATTAAGTATAATTTTTAACTCCTCTTTTAATTATCAATAAACATTGATAATCTAAAAATCAAATTTTAAACTAATTTCTATTATCAAAATTTTCTTTTTATTTTATAAATTCGTACCTAAAATACCCAAAAATTAAAAATTAAGTCTCTAGCTTAGAATCATAATCCTATAACCATAATAATTCATTTCTCATCCCAAATAATCATCTAAACCTCAATAAATCAACATATATTTTCAGATCTAGTTTAGAATTTGATCCATAAGCCATAAATTCAAAGATCATTAACAAATTTATACTCTATAACATTTATTATACTACTGACAACCTCAAAAACCATATTTATTCAACATAAATTCATCCCTCTTTTAGATCTTAAATTTTCTACCACTACAAACTCAGAAACTAAAAAAGAAGGATGACTAAGAAAAATTTTTAGAACACTTACTTAGTCTTGAAAAGCTTAAAATCACACCCTAAATATCCTATTAAAAACTCTTACCTTAAAACCCAGCACCGGTGAATTTGGCTCACAGATGCTCTCTCTGCCGAAGCTCACGCACGAAAGAAGGAATGAAGAAATGAAGAAACAGGTGAGTTTTTATAAAAATTCAGTGGGTCCCACATTTTTTTAAAATTATTTTCTCTCTCTTCTTCTTCTTTTCTTTTTATTATTATTTTATTATTGTTACTGTTGAGGCGGCGGACGAAGCAAATTTTTCTTCTTCTTCTTCCTTTCTTTTCCTTTCTTTCTTTTTATTATTATAATAATAATAATTTAATAATATTTTATTTTTTTATTATTATTATTTTTTTTTATTTTTTTTATTTTTTTATTTTTATTTATTTTTTTTTTCATACCTTTTTTTTATAATAATAATTTAATAATACTTTTCAAAATTTTTATTAACCCAAATTAACTATTAAAATTTAAATTGGGATGTTACATTTTCCCTTCTCTTCACCCTTATATTTGCTTCCATGTTACCAAATAAGAGCTTGTCTCCTCCTACTTTCATAAGGCTTGCTAGCTACTTCCGACACCATGCTTGGATGAAGCGTAGTTGCTATTGAGGATCCATCAAGAATCAACATCATCTGTGAGATAACATTGCTAGAGAGCTCCATAAGTTTTTGTTTGGTTCACTTTCCCTATATCTTTCCTCTCGTCCCTTGCCTTGCATGAAGCCATGCCCTCTCCAGTGCTGTCGGTCTTATCAACTTCCATGGCATGTTCAAGCTTAAGCCATGGTGGAGTACATTACAGATTTAGAGGAGAAGAGCAAGGGTGTTCAAAATTGATCCAATCCGAAAGGGCCGACCCAAACCGACCAAACTGAAAAAAATTGATTAAAACTGAATAATAATCAAGTCTGTTTTTGGTTTTTATGATATGAGAATTGATTATTTTGGTTCAAGTTTGGTTTTAAGTATTAGAAACCGAATCAAACCAAGCCAAACTTGATTAAAAAATACTATTTATTTATTTATAAAATATATGACCATTTATCTACAAGAAGTATTTTATTTTGAATTTTTTATAGTAATAGATAAACATTTTTAAAGGACTTGAATGGAAATGTATAATATTAAATAATTATAATAATCATGCTATAACCATCATTTAATTATTTATAACTTGAAAGCCTCGGTATTCAATTTATCTATAAGAAGCAATTTGTTTTGAATTTTGTATAATAAGTTTATTAAAATATAGATTCACAAATAAACATTTTCAAAGGACTTGAATGAAAATGCATAATCTTAAATAATTTTATTGTTAAAAACTCATATCAATTTTTATGATTAATTATCATTTTCTCATTGAAATTTTATTATATTGTTTTACCTCTACTTATGAAAAAAAGGAGCAAAAAAGAATTAGATTTAATTTTAATATAAACACCATTATGAAGATGAAAAAGGAAATAAAATTAAATAAGTGCATTGAAGCCTGATCTAAACTTTAACTAAACTGAGATTCATAAAAACTGATCAGGTCCTAATTATGAGTAAACCAAATGGTTTGGTTCGGTTTGATCTTTGGCCAAAATCAAACCAAACCGAGCCTATGAACCCCCTTAGAGAAGAGAGAAGAGAGAGGAGAGATGGGGTAAAATATAAAAAAATTATAATGTGAGGCCTACTAACAAAAACTATTAAGCTAGATAACATGAGGGCGTCGAAGGTTTAGATTGTAAATGTTGATTAATAGAATTGATCCACATATGAGTTTCTGATGTTTAATAACTTTTCAAGTAAAGTTAAGAGATAAAAATGATCTTTAACCTAAAAATAAACTGTATAATTTGTGCTAAGTCCAAACATGTGACTATCAACTTTTAAACATATTTATTTATGTTTGAAGAAGGTTTGTTTGGCTTTTAGATCCTATAGCTGTGGTATTGAAGTCTGTTTATGAAGTAAGGGAGGCTTATTGGAAGAATGTTGGAAGGGGTAGAATTGTTTTTGATGTGATTTGGGAAAAGCTGGAGGAGGGGTGGCTCAAATTAAATGTTGATGGAGCAATTAAAGGGGGTGAAGGAGAAGCAAGCTGCGGGGAAGTGTTTAGACATAATGAGGGTAGATAGGTGGGTAGTTTTGTGAGACGTGAAGGAAGGTGTTCCATGGAGGAGGCGAAAATGTAAGGGGTATGTACAGGTATTTTGTTACTACAGACGTTTGAAGGAAATGCTGTCATTATTGAATCTGATTCTATGACAGTTGTCAAACGTTTGGAGAAGTTATTTCAATGGGGTGAGGTGGATCCCCTTACACAAAGGATTGGTAAGATATTGGATAATAGGTGACGAGTAAGGGTAATGCATGCTCTCCGTGAGGGGAACATATGTGCTGACTGGAGATGGGGCTTCCTTCAAGTCAATGAGATCTGTTTGTTATATGACCCACTAGTGGGGATTGTTGACCTTCTGTGTTAGGATGAGAATGGCTTAGTTTGCCCAAGGTGTCTTCCTGTTTGATTTTTGTTTCTCATTTTGGGCAATTACCTCGCTATTTAATTAAAAAAAAGAATTTGATTCATAAATCGTAACCCACCAGATAACGAATAAATTCTAATATGCCCTAATTCTAGCAAGCTCTGAGAACTCAACCCATTTAAATTTTTTTTCTCTTCTGTCGTGGCACTATTTTTTTGTTTTGACTAGACATAACATCAAGTTGACATGATATAAAATATTCTTTTCTAAAAATATGAAATCTGTGAAGAAAAAATTAATGATAAAAGACTATTTTTATTAAATAAATTTTTATCACTAACATAATTAAAACTATTTCTTTTGACCATAAAATTGTCAGCTTTAATTTAAGCATTTTATAAAAATATCATAAATAATACCAGAAAGATGGTGCTATTGTTATCCGTCTCCCCACGCCCCCTCATGAAATTGGGAGAAGGGTATCTCCATTATTTTATCATTATTATTTTTACTTTTTAATTACGGTCATTCATTAAATTTATGGTTAAAATGAATTTATTTTAATAGAACAACATTAATGATCATGATTGAAAAGTTGAAGGGAAATAATGATTAAAGAAAAAATGAAGAGAAATTCATGTAATGGCATCACCACAAACCTTCGCATGATTTTGCTGGGACGAGAAACTTAACAAGGAAAAGGCTTGAACATAATCCGTGTTATGTATGATGTACATCTTATTATATTTTCGCATCGCTCAGGATAGGTCATATCCACGTCATGTATGATATACATGTTTGTTTGTCTTTTCAGGCACGTTTGGCCAAACAACATTCGACTTATGAACAGTAATTTTCAACTTTTTAAATGTCAAAAATTGTTTGGAAAAATTTTTAATTGGACAAAAACACTTTTAAGATGTGATTAAAATGAGATTTGGAAGTAGATTTAAGAACTTTATTCCGAGTTTGATTTCAAATGATAAATGTGAGTTAAGCATTTAATAAAAAAATATTTACACTTATTTTTTTAATTGACTTATGAACAGTAATTTTCAACTTTTTAAATGTCAAAAATTGTTTGGAAAATTTTTAGTTGGACAAAAACACTTTTAAGATGTGATTAAAATGAGATTTGGAAGTAGATTTAAGAACTTTATTCCGAGTTTGATTTCAAATGATAAATGTGAGTTAAGCATTTAATAAAAAAAATATTTACACTTATTTTTTTAATTGATCATGTCACTCTTAATTTTTTTACTTTATCACACAAGCTCACTTCATAGTTCTCAAATTCTCTTTTGTCCCTACTCCTCTCAATGTTGCCTACCGTTCTTCTAGCCAAACTTGTCCCGTCTCCCGCTCTTTGATGTCGGTGCTCCCTCATCCGAAATGTTAAATTATTGATTATATAATATTTTTCAATACATTAGACTTCATATTTTTTATTATTATTATTTAATATATGAAATTTTATGTTATTTTAAAATTTTTCAATTTTTTAAACCATTATAATATATTATATTTATATAATAAAAAATATAAATCATCATAAATCAATGTCATTTTTATCAATATTTAAAAATATAAATCATTATTATTTTAAATAATTGACTCTAAAAATATATTTAAACATAAGTTTTATTATAATAATTAAATGTTACTGAATTAATTTTTACTTAAATTTTTTATAAGTGAATTTTTAACCAACAGAAAATCAAAGGCGCAGTTAGACTATGTTCACTTTATAACTTAATGTTTTCAATTAAAAAAAAAAAATCACCGCCGTTGCCGCTCCCAGCCATGGAAAATCTCTCTGCCAAGGGCCACTTGGTGTTGGTGCAGAAGAGGCACAACGTCCCGCGCGGTCGTGTGTAATGTCAAATTGCCCTTCAATCCTTCATCACTATGAGTTCTTCTTCCTCCTCCTCCTCCTCCTCCTCCTCCTTCCTTCCTTCCTCCCTGATTCTCGCCTTCAAGTCTCAACTCTTAGATGGCTGTTGCTATTATGAAAAGCCAGCTTCGCTGATCCACCCAGTCTATGTGCCACGAATTATTTATTTTTCACTTATAAATTCTAATTCGTTTTCATTTGTTTCTAATTCTTATTTTCTTTCCTTTTAATCTAATCATTTTTTAATGATAAAAAATTGTTCTCCTCTTTCCATAGTTGAGGGCATTTGCTTTGATTTGTTCTCTTATAATGGCTTTATTTTCAGTTCTTCTTTAACGGTATCTTAGCTATTTTCTCAAACTTTATTTTGGAATTTAAGCTTGGCGGATTTCTTTGCATCCTATTTTGTGACTCTTTTCTTTCTTAACAAAAAATTTTCTTCTTTTTACAAAAGAACATTCTAAATTTTTTCTGATTCCTTTCTTTCTGTTCCAAATCAAAATATTTTTTACTTATTATATTCATTATATACCAATGACCTTTTTTTTTTTTTAATATCACATTCTAGATTTGACGTTTCTATTTTACTTTTAGTCATTTTTCAAGCAACAAATTTCTGTGTTTTTCCTTGTTGTAGTGCTGCTGAGAATGGCACGCGTGCATGTGCTGAACTCCTTCATGTTTGTTGAAGGAAAGATAAAAAATTAGTAAGGAAACTCCTCAATCATGCATTCTTTTATATATCCAAATGCATGATGAACACTCTTGCACTTTGTAGTGTACGCAAATTCTCTTTGGGAAAATTGAGCCTCAAATACTAGTTACTTAAGTGATTATTTAATGACATTGCAATTGATGGTTGTGGAATGCCTAATTCATAGAGAGATAGAGAGATTAAACTGTCATTAATGTGTATAAGGTAAAGTATTGCAATTAATGTGATTCAATAACATTTTAGATTCTTGTCAAATTCTTCGTTTTATTGTGATTCAGTTGCTTCCATGCTCTGTATTGGACCAAGAATGAATTTTCTTATTTGAGGAGAAAGTGGGAGATCCTTGTGCAGGTAAATATTATCACTTGAGGTCTAGGTTAGACTTAAAAGGCTGGCTTCTAGTTTTTATTTCCCCTTCCCCAGCAACAATGATTGTGCATGGCTTAAAATATTTTTAGGTATAAGAGGTAGAAACTGATGAAAGGAACGCATTATGGAATTTGGCTTTGGTTTATAAAACTGTAGGTGGTTTCAATCCTTTTAAACACATTGATTTTGACTGATTTTTCCTGTATGGTCATTTTTTTACATGCTCCTTATAATCTAGACATTTCACCTCTCCAGCCCGCCCTTGATTTCTCTCCCCACTTTTTAATCTGGTAAGCATTTCTCTGTGACTGATAACAATTCACAGAACATCACTCCTGGATATGCTCATATGGAGAGGAAAAGAGGAGGAGGAAGAGGGTCAATGACTCAATTACAACCCTAAGGTTGCATCTGTTTCTACCTTGTCATAAGGAAGTTCTAAGATGCAAATTTTAAGAAAGTGTTTAATGGAGCAGTGTCTTAACTTGCTAATATAGGAGAAACAGAATAATGAAGCATTATGGATATGATATTCTGTTTATGGTTACCGCAAGCCTTGTTAATTAAATTAAAGAGAGACACTTATCTTGATGGCACTTCATCGCATTTTAATCCTTTTGGGGGATGTCAATATTAACATTTATCTTTGCTTTTGCTTTTCTTCATAGCTGTTCCTTCACGTCACTCTGTCACTGTAATTTTGGATATAATTAAGAACTGGAGTATTCAACATCCTTTTTATTTTTTCCTTTGTACCTTCTTGAATGGACAGATGGAGAGGAGGATTATTGACTGTGGAAACGTGCGGTGAAAACCATGCATTACTTATAATTTCCTCAGCTGAGTATACCTGCTTGAAAATTCTGTAATGCATTGCTCATTCAGTTGCTGGCTTATCTATTGTAGCCTCAGGTTTGGGTTCAGGAGACTGATTGATCAATATGAATCTAGATATGTTTATGCTTCATACAGATTCTTTTCCTTTTCAGCCTCACATGTTGTGGTTTTATTGCTAATCACATATTGGCTTGACAGCCTCACATGTTGTGTTTTGCTCAAATGAACCTGTAAAACTTGATGTAATTAAGTAGACCTTAGGGTCAATACATAATGAAAACTATTAATAAATGTTTATGAAAATACGTTTGTGTTTGTGTTTGTTTGGATGTTGGCTTTAATTAGCATTTTATGAAAATATCAACACGAAAACAATTGCATGTGATGAAAATATCAAACGAAAAAAATGTGAAAATAAACATAGGTTTCCAGTTAAATATTTGCCCAAAATGTGAGAATAAAGGGTTATGATAATGATTAATAATAGCTTGTGGCATAAGGACATGCTCACTCAAAAAAGAAAATGTTTTCAGTTAAATATTTGCTTTCATTGAGCTTTTTAAAATAGGTGATGATCCTGTTCTTATTTGTCAAAGTCATCAATTTTATTGAATAGGGATAAAATAAATCAATTCGAGTCTCTTGAGATATCGTTGTCTAAATTCACTCAAATAGTAGCTATGGCCATTTTGTAGCTTTGAAACATCAGCACTTCAGAAATGGATTATCTCTGTTTCACAGGAGTTGGATAGTTATACTATGCCCAACGTGAGGCAACAGATATTGTCATGTTATTCCCATGCCGTGTCTCATGCCCATGCTGTTAAATATGCTTTGGCAATTCATGGTTTTAGCTTCTAATGATGTGCTGCTCTTCTATCTGCTGGCAAAGCTTCTTGGACGCCATTGTTTATGACCTTATTTAATCTTTTAAATTTAAAATAAGTAAGCGATTCCACTTTATATTAGCTTTTTGGTAAATTTACAAAGCTCTGTTTTCTTTTACCAAGTAAAAGGAGAAACATAATTTTTTTTCATTTATTTTAAAACACTCTAATTTTTTTTTTTAAGTGCTCAGTTCTGTGGGTTTCCAGTAGCTAGAGTGCAACACATTTCACTACCCACCTTTCTTAAAGCCAGCATAATATAATAGTGTTATTTGGATTCATATCATTTAAATAAGGATAAAAGTAACTGCCTTGCCATTTGTCATTGACAATGGCATTAATGATAATTTGCAAATTTTTGTGGTTAATTGCACCAGAGCTCATGCTTAACTCATGACCTTCTGACAGAGTCTGTTTTGAATGATTTCTTATTCATCTATCTGATAGATTTTGTTTCTATCTGCAACTCATTAGGCTTTCATATCTGTCTAAAAAGAAGTGCCCCCCTTCCAAGATCATCTCTTCCAACTTAAGCTTAATTTTCCTTCTAGTTTCCTTCTTTTTGGCTGTTTCTGTTTTGCTCTCAACAGAAAATGACTTTGCCAATTCTCAGAGGATTGCACCAGGACTATTTGGATTCATTGCTTGATGAGGTAGAAGATTCCTTGTTGAGTGTTTTGAATTGTGATCTATGCTGAACTGTTTGCCGAAGGATCTCTCTATGGTTTCCACCTCCACCTTTAAAATTTTGTGGTTTTCTCCCTCATCTTTCCTTTGTTTGTTATGCTCAAAGGACTGCTCCTGGCCTAGTTGTATTCATTGTTTGATGAGGTAGAAGGTTCCTTGTTGAGTTGTTTTATTTTTTATTGATGAGGGATCTTTTCCAGGATTCCTTTGGGGGTCTAACTCTTCATCCTCAAAACTGTCATGACCCTTTGCCTAATGTTTCCTTTGTTTGCCATTCTCATTGAACCACACCTGGCTATTTTAATTCTTTGTTTGATGAAGTAGAAGATTCTCCAGGTTTTTCACGCTCTCCAAAATTACCATGTTTCCCCCCAATCTTTCATTGGTGAGGATGAGATCCAGAACTCCTAGTAGATGGAATGACTCAAAGCTGGTCTCAGCATTATTGGGACTTGTAGTAGACGGAATGACTCAAAGCTTGTCTCGGTATTATTGGATTGTCATCACATTCTTATACTCTTGCCTCTAAGTTCTTGTGATATACTTTCTCCTCTGGAGAATTGGCGTCAACATGGCAGGCTCGCCCTTTGAATTTCTTTTGCATTTAATTTGTACCAAGATATCATTCTTCTATCATGTAGTAGCTTTTTCTTTCAAAACGATGTTGGATAAACAATGCTCAGATGTTTGATTACTTTTCTTCTGATTTTTTGCAGGGTATAATAAACGATCAGTTTAATAGAATTCATTCTCAGAGAACCGAGGAATCAGATTTTGTTGTTAAGCTCGTTGAAGCATACTTCAGAGATGTAGAAGCAATCCTTTCAGATCTTTCAAGTCATGCGTAATGATAATGCTTGTTTCAAGGATTTGCCATTCAAGCTGATTGCAAAATCCAATTTTCTAACCAGTGTTTCTATATCTACAGTGATGAGTCAAATGTTGACTTAACCAAGTTGTCTGCGCTTCCTCGTGAAATACAGGATAAGAGCACAAGGTAGCATGCAAAGTCTATAGATCACAATTGTCCCGGCTGTATTTAGACATATAATACATGCATATGCCCTTTTATCTCTCTCCTGGATTGGAGATGGCCATTCAGTCTTTAATTGTATACTTTCAAAATGTTATAGAAATTTGTGAAACATTTTTCCCCCAGAAAAGGAAATTAGGGAACTGTTCAGCAAAGGGAAAAGAACAGGAAACACAGTGCCCTTACCTCTCACCTCATGATACTTTTTATTTTCATGTTTTCTTTTCATTATCGTGAATAGTTTGTTAACAATATATTGACCTAAATACTAAAGATGTTGAACAATTGCGAAGAATTGTTTCCACTACCCTTGACAAAGCCCAATACTACAATGTAGTTTATACAACACTCAACATTGTTGGAGCTGTAACAGTTGGCACTCCATGTCCATCTAGCAAATTGACATCCCTCCCTCCATTGCCCTTCTCTTTGATATTATGTCCATTAGCTGTTGCTATCTACCACCTCCACCTCACCTTATATTTTCCTGTGTTAGAGATATTAATGAAACCATCCTGGGGCTTCCCCTTGCACCTTAACTACGACTTTAGAGATGGTGTGATCCATCCCATGGCATCATGACTATCATGAGCAAGTGTTCAGGTGATCCATCCCACTGTCCTCAATTCCCCATTCTTCACTATCAAATTGAAATTCAGCTCGATGTAAGTTGAACATTTGCTATGTCCATTTCTGGTCTGGAAAGCTTTTGCGCGCGCGCGCATGTGTTAGAGATATTAATAAATCCATACTTTGGCACCCTCTCTTCATTGACGTTGATGTTATGGTATCTTAAAGCTTGGATCTTTCAATTTGTGTTCTGGTTGACATGTTTTCAGTTTTTGATATGGGACACTACTAGATTCCAATATAAGTTTATGCAATAGTTCAGGGAAAAATAATGAGACTATGATGCCAAAGAGTAGACTCAGTTTTGTAGCTTCTAATTAGGTATTTGGAGCTTTATCTGACATTTGTTCATGGTGTTACAGCATTGGTGCAGAGCTTGTTAAGCATGCATGTCGTGAACTGATTCAAGCTTGCGATGAGAACCATAAAAGAAAGTAAATGCTCTATCTCAGTTATCTGATGTGTGATCTTTTATATATTGGCATGGCATTGTTTATCCCGAGCTGACATTTGCTCCATTTTCCCAGAAGAAAATTGCACAAGTCTTTCTTAGTATTTAATGCAAGCAAATATAGAATATTCTGGAGATTCGAACAGGCTTTTCTTAGGAAGTATATGTAACAATCTACACCACACTATGAAGTTTTTCCTGTAAAGCAATCTTGTCTTTCCATACATTTCTTGTTTAAGAAATCTATGTTCTATGATATGCATTGACGTCTTAAATAATTATATCCTTATTCAGTCAAATGGACCTGCAATTTAATCAGGTACACTTGATTGAAGGTGATCCTGATCCCGGTATGCTAATTTGCGGAGCTTTAATATGATGTATAAATTTGTTGAATATTATTTGACCTGATGTCTTTGAATAAATGAGTTAGACAATGGATCAGTTCAGTAAATGGAAGGGTTAATAGCTCCATCCACAACTTTCGTAGGTGACAGTAAGATTCCCTTCTTTAATAACTTGAATTTATTATTTTCCCTATGGGCAGTCATAGTGTTATAGGATTAGCTTGCTCAGAACTTCATCTTTCATCTGGAATTGTATATGTTCATGACAGTTGGCATCTATTTGGAACTCTTTCAATGTTAGCTACATTATTATCGTTTTATATTTTGAAGCATCGCATTATTATTTTACATATATGTTTGTGTGTCGTTTGCCCCTCTTTCTCTTTTTATGGAAACTTTGTTGTTCAGGTTTGATCGAAGCCTGATGTGGGTACAAAGTGAATTTAGTCTTACCAAGACCAAGTTGGAGTCTTATGTTCGGGTATCCTACATTGTTTTTGTCAGATTTTTTTTGGGGTTAACGTTTGTCTGATGAATATGATTCGACACATATTTGGTAAAGAACGTATATGCTTGCACTTTATTTTAGTCAAAAGAGTAAATAATACTAGTTGGAAGAGAAAGAGAGTACAAGAAGGAACTGATTTGATGGCGATTAGTGTAGAACGATTTGGGCTCGTTGTGGAAGGTGGAGATAGCGAGAGAAAAATTGGTTGTAGTTCCTTAACTTAGGACTCCCTCAAGTTCACATCTATGGTATATACAATTGGAGCTTTGAAGAAAGAAAACTGGATTTTTAACTCCTGTCAATTTCAATTCTTTCATGTAAAATAATCATTAGACATGATGAAGTTTTTATTTGTTTCTAAGTAAGAAAAAGGTCACAAAACGAAGAGGATAGCTTTATAGAACGCTTCTGTCTTTTGTAATATGAAGCACATCTTTTATCCTAATCCGTACATTGAAACTAATAAAACATAATCTCAATGCAGATGGAGCGAAGGATAATCAGATACGTGGAGTCAAAATCACAATCTTCATCCTCGAGTTGAATTCTCTCCTTCAGTTAGATCAGAAGAATGAGGATGACGCCTCCAAGATTGAAATAATGGGGTAGAAAACTGTTAACTGAATATTTTAATGCCGCTTCAAGCTGTATTGGTAACTGAAATTGCTTGTAAGTTAAAACTTTAAAAAACGAGGATGGTGCTTTCGAAATCAAAGCCGTTGGTGAAAGTATCACGTATTGCCCTCTCTTCAGATCTTAAACGTGAAGTTGTGCGGGTAACTGAAATTGTTGAGAGTTGAAAGGAGGATGGTGCACATTGATTCAAAGCGAAAAGGTATATTATTCTCTGGCATCTTTAAGGTCAGGTACAAAAGTATTTGATTCAAAACCGAAACTTTATTTGTTAAGTTTGCCAGAAGGTATCTGTCTTGTATTGTCAAAACTCATGCGATCGCTCGAGCAGGGAGTCATGTAGTGCGTGAGCATTTCACATGTTCCTTGCGTAACTAACGTATTATTGAGTATTGGCCATATAAGTGATGCAAAAACCACGAGCCTTTGTGATCATAGCCCCAAATATCAGCTATTGTTACTGCTTTGCTATGGGTCCCATATACATGAGCTCCACCCTCCTCTTTCTTTTCTTCTTTCTATTAGCTTTCACTGAAGATAATTTAAATACTAATTACCTGTCCTCGAATAGGTAGGTTGGACTTTGGACTAAAATTGAAACAAACTTGTAATGTAATCGTAATTGTCTATCACTTGCTGTTTTTATTTATGGGCTGGCCCATGTCAGATTAGTAGGTTACACATACACACACACTCTTCCTCCGTTAAAACATATAAGGCGTTTTTAAATACTATTCCTTTTTTGTGAACTGTCAAGATCATCTGTTCTCGAATAGGTGGGTTGGACTTTGGACTGAAATTAAAACAGACTTGTAATTGTCTGTAACTTGTGTTTTTATGTATGGGCCGGCCCATGTGGGACTTGGGTCCAAACGGAAGAAGCCCTTTTAATTTTGTTTTTGGATGTCAGTTTTGTAGGTTATACACACACACACACGTACTTTCTTTGTGAAAAAATGTAAAATATTTTTTTTATCAAATCTTATCTTCAATAAAATAATTATTTATTATCAAATTAATATTATCTTCTTATATTTATTCTTATTTAATAAGGTATTGTATTTTAAAATACATATAATGTGATTTATTTATTATGAGTACTTTTGAAAAAAAAAATTACATTAATTATACTTTAAAATATTAAAAATACTTTATATTTTTAAATAATTAATTTTTTAAAAAATGTCTTATATTTTTTTAAAGATTGGAGTATATCAAAATTAATCTAAGCTCCTACCTAAGCTTTAATTAGCAGTCCAAATCTATGGGCAAAGCTTTCACTTAGCTGATGATTTATTTTACAAATAAAGAATCTTATCCAAATTGAAGCCGTTGGTAAATCTATGGCGTTTTCCCCCTTAGCCCATGATCTTGGTTTTCATTAACCCATGCGGATTTTGGATTTAGTATCCGCGTTTGAAATGATTAAAAAAATAAAGAAAAATTAATTTATAGGTCCTTCTAATTTTTCTCAATTTTAAATTAATTTTTTATAATTTATTTTATTTTAATAAAATCCTTATTATTTGATCAGTTAACTATGTTAATCCCTAAAATTAAAATTCTTGAATTTTTTTTATATTTTCATTAAAATATTAATAATTTTAGAAATAAATAAATAATTTTTATAACTCAACAATTATATAATTAGTTTATGTTTCCTAAATAAATTATGTATAAAGGTATGTATAGATTTTTCATAAAAAAATTAATGAAAAATTAAACATTGTATTAAATCAAATTTTATTTTTTTTCTTTTTTGACCAAAAGTATTTAATCAAATTTACTATAAATTTTAAAATTATTTTTTATTTTGAAAAAATTAATCATTCATTAACAATTTTAATTTTTAAGGACTAGTGTATTTAATTAATCAAACTATAAAAGCTTGATTAAAATAAAATAAATTATAAGAACCTAATTCAAAATTATTGAGAACTAGAAGGATTTGTAGATTAATTTTTCTTAAAAATAATAAAGTAAAACATAACAATGGGATGTTATGGCATGAGAATGAGAATTTGACTAATACTCTTTTGATCCTATTTATGAGACAAAAAAAAGATTAATTTTTTTATACTTATAAGCATTTTACTATTTTTATATCCACATGTGTATATATATATATATATCTTTTAACTTTTTTAAATGCTTGAAAAAATTATTAAAAATAATTACTTTTGTTTTTATTAGGAGATAGAGGCGAAAAATTATTCAATTTTAAGATACAATAATGAGGTTTAAAAATTTTTTAATTTAAGTAAAAATGTTAAAAGTGCCCTAGAATTAGGACCGGGAGTAGTATAGTATAAAGAAAAACATAATTATTGGTCTATGTAGTTTTAGTATTTTTTGATCTAGGTTTCTATAGTTTTTTTTTTATTATTTCAAGTTCCTCTAATTTATCTCATTTGCTATGTCAGTTTCTCTATTTTTGAGTATGTATAACAAAATGACAAAATGATACTAACAATGTTAAATATGTTAATTTGTAGCTAACACATTAATTTATGTTGAGGACTCAAGGTTGCATTATGACTCGACATATTGACATATGAAACACCAAACAAAGCATATTAGACAATACTGTTAATTTATTGAGTTATAATTCCACTCTAGTATACATTAACAATGTTAGTTACATGTCAATATATTTAATACTGTTATTATCATCTTGTTATCTTTCTTGGCATATTTAAAAAAAAATAGAGTGATTAACGATGTAAATAAAATAAACTAAAGAGATCTAGAGTAACCAAAAAAAAAAATACTGAAACTTATACCAAAACACATTAAAACTATAAGAACTAATAGTTATACTTTTCCTAAAATTTCAAGAGAGACAAATAAAACTATTTTATATAAAAATGAACAGAATTTAACATTGAGAATGATTCACATGAAATTGAGAATTTATAAATTTTATGAAATCTACTATTTTAAAGAATTAAATTATTAAAAAGATTCAAAAAAATTCATGGAATTTAGCCTCACATTATTTCCTTCCTTTAATATTTTATTATGGTACAGATGATGATTCATACTAACCCTAACTTAACCCTAACCCGTACTAGTCTGTTTTCAGTGCTTAATAGTTTGTTGAGCATCAAAGTGCTCATCACCTAGCAAGAAATATGGGCCATTCAAATAGCCTAAATTTTTTTAATTTCAATTTCAATTTTTATTTTATAAAAATAAAAATTTATAATTTTTTTAAAAAATATATTTATCATCTATTGATTTAATTTGAGTAGTTTAATTTAATGTTATAATTTTTATAAATTAACTATTTAAATGGACATTTCAGATTTAATATTAAGTTTTTGCCAACAAGATCTAGATTTAAAATTTTTATTTTTTATTTTAATCTTATATTTATTAAAATTAATATTTAACTTAGATAATTCAAAGTATATTTAGATAATTAATTTATAAAAATTAAAACATTAAATTGAACCTCTCAAATTAAGTAGTACTGTTCAGATTGACTATAAATATATTTATAAAAAATTTATAAATTTTTTATTTTAATAAATATAAAATAAAAATAAAAATAAAAATATTTAACTTGGATCGTCATTAAATCAACAAATTTAACTGTGGTTCGGAGGAGGGTGGGAAGAGGAAGCCAAGTCCGTCAGTTAAGAGAAGGAAATCTTATCTTTCCGCGCTCTTTTTGCCCCAGTCCTAGAAATGGCTGCCATAGTTACTCATCTCCACCTACTCCCCAACCTTACGCGCTTCAAGTGCACCAGAACAGGAGCCGGTACAGGTCTGGAAACGCGTGGGCTCTGCGTAAGCTCGGTTCGGTGCTCCTATGGAGTTTTGAGTGAGAATCGCCAAGTGACATTGACTAATAAGAACGATTCCTTAGAAATCTGCCGAGTTCTTAATGGCATGTGGCAAACCAGCGGTGGCTGGGGCCGAATCGACCGAGACGCCGCCGTCGAAGCGATGCTCCAATATGCCGACGCAGGCTTATCCACCTTCGACATGGCCGACCACTGTACGTATAGAAAAGTTCTCAGACGCTCTCCACGCGTCCTATTAACGTTTTGCGCCATGTCAGATAACTTCTTCTTACGTGTCTAAGGGGCCCCTGGCTGCGTCTGTAGTTAATTACCGAAAAACGAATACCAAATAAATTTTTTTTAAAGGGAGAAAATTAAAGGTGGATACTGGAGAGTGAGCAGAGAAGTCGATCTAGGATAGAACAGTGACACTGCTGTCCACGTGTCTCTATTTTACTTGGTTATTAGAACGAAAGAAACTGCTGAAGTTATCTAAGCACTGAACGTTAGTAGGCACTCGTGTTTGGAAATGGCAGTGTTAGTGCGTCATCCGTTGAGTAAATTCACTTTCAATCCTGATGAAATACTAACTAGGAGGGGTGTTACAGCACGAAAATGTAAGCATCTGAGGCCATCTCAATGCGTGCAAACAGAGGATAGCCGGCGCATTGTATTCAAGAGTGGGAACGATTCATTAGAAATTTGCCGGGCTGTGAATGGGATGTGGCAAACGAGTGGTGGGTGGGGCAGAATTGATAGAGATAATGCTGTTGATGCTATGCTTAAATATGCTGATGCTGGGCTCACCACTTTTGATATGGCTGATATATGTATGGAACTCAATCGATTGAACTTACTTTTACTTGCCTCTTTGTTCGCGAAGGAAAAAGATTGAGCCAGCTTATCTTTTATGGCAATTGAAATTTTTCTATAGACTCTTAAATAACTAACGAGTTGGGCAGCCTTTGTGATTGTAGGATGTTGTTTATGTTTATTTTTAACGTAAGCTGCTCTTTGTAAGTTCGCTGAAATAAATGTGAATTGTGCAACGTATGGTAGCCTTTTTTGAACTTTGCAGATGGACCTGCTGAAGACCTGTATGGCATTTTCATCAATCGAGTTCGTCGCGAGCGCCCACCTGAATTCTTGGAAAAGGTCAGAGGGTGAGTTGATTATGTGACTTGATTACTTTTTCACTGATCGAAGCAAATTTCAAGGAGTTTACAAGCTTATCCACCAATCATGCTTTGTAGAAACTTTTAGATTTCTAAGCAAGTTAGGGAAGTTATTTTCTTTCCTATTGTGTCATGTAATACAGTCTCACCAAGTGGGTGCCA